ATGTACATTATTTTATACTGATTTTTATTCAAATGTCTAATCCTCAATTTCACTCATGCATATAAATAAAGCCAGAAAGTTGTGTGAGTGAGTGACTTGATATGATTATGAGTAGGAATAATTTGTGCTCAAAACGTTGTCATCAGGTAATATCACTGTATAACAATGTGTAATTTATCAAAATGAAATCTTATGCATAATGGAGTTATACTCTACCATTCAGTACCCAAGTTCCATATTAATATAATCCTATTTCGGCTAATATTACTTTTCAAGAGAGTCACTGACGACGAATGCGTAACAAGTATCCCGGCCATCTCAGTCGGTTAAGCATCAATGCTTCGTTGAGTGAATTGTTCTTCTTACTGAACAGCCTATCCTTAATCTCAATACTTTCAAATGTAGATAAGCCGTAGATAACTCATGTTCAGTGTCACACACACAGAAGCCCAAATACTTGCAGGCAAAAGCCGAAAAAATTGCAGAAGAGGTCGCCTGACAACAAAAACAGTAATCCAGGTTATTATGGCGAAGACGGAGGGAATAAAGATAATAAAACACCATCAATAGCAACGGAAAAGGGAACGGAACAAAAGGGTGAAAGCCGATCGCTTATCAGATATGTAGGAAAAAATGGAGAAGCATAGGACCGGTATGCATTGAAGAGAGCGTCCAAAGACATCACGCGCAATACAGGCCATCTCTCGAGTGGAATCTTAATGCGGAGGGGGTAACAGGTGCGTGGCCGATGAGAGGTTGACAGTGAGGACGTTGTGAAAGAGGTAGGAGAGATGAGGGATAATGGGAGTTCGAGGAGCCAGCCAGCTGAAAAGGACATCATCAAGTAGAACAAAGTGCAGATATTCATTGTAGTAAATGTATTTTGTATTTCCCAATGGATGAAAAACCGAACGATACTGATGTTGTTTTTACTAACGTTTCGCTATTTAATGCTGCTGCTAATAGCTTTATCAAATCGGCATTATTATACGAGAATTTACTAAATCTACTCAGCTTATATACAACAACTTGATCATCGTTCATCAGCATGGGGTTATTTTTGCGTGGTCAAGTTGGCCAAGTGGTAAAGATAATAAAACGATGTTTAGATTGTTGGCTTTGATAAGTGTGTAAAATTGTAAAAGCAGCATGTGTTTACATAATGAAATTGCTTGTCACATTCAAGTTGATTTTCTCATTTCATGGGTGTCCGGGGTAGGTGTTGTAACCTGATCAGATTCTGTTTTACCCCATCATTCTTATTCAAACAGTCTGAATTCCATTTACTAATATGAAGTGCTTCTGATATTAGGCGTTTTTGTGATTTCTGAAGTTCTTCTGGATGGTAACTTAAATATGGTCAAAATCAATTTTGTAACCTGACTCTATAGCGTGGCGTGTAGACGGCCTATGGCTGATAATTTGTCAAGCTTTTCTAGTTCACTAACTGGATTTCTCGGTGGTTGAACAGATGCTCTACGGTGTTCATCTCTTCTGATGTTGATTTCTCTATATTGGTGTTTGTCTGATGTATATCGCTTCGCATTCTAAGCGAGCATTTTTTTATGGACACAATTAGACAGAAAATCTTTATGGATTCGGTCTCTTATATGGACCAGGTTGTTTCTCAGTGTGTCTGATGTTTTGAAGACACCACTGATGTTGTGCTTACCTTTGTGATGATGGGGTGTGATCATCCGAATTCTAAATATTTATCGGAGTGGATCGCCTTCCTGAATTTAGATATACTAAGATGTCCGTTTTGCATCCTCTTAAATAGGCAGTCTAGAAATGGTAGCTCACCAATGTCTGATTCTGCTTTCGAAGTAAACTGGATTGTGGGAAAAAGACTGTTTATATTCTCCAAGAATGAACTGTGTAGATTTCGTTTTATCACTACAAAAATATCACCTACACATCTTAACCAAATTTTCGGAATGAGTCTGCTTGAAAAGATATTACCACTGGTAAGTATAAAACTTGGGCACTGTGGTAGAGTATAATTCCATTATAGATAAGATTTTATTTTGATAAATCGCACAGTGTTTACAGTTATATGAACTGATGACGTTTCGAGCACAAACTATTGCTCATAATCATATCAAGTTACTCACACGACTTTGATCTTATCTATAATGGAATATTACCACTGGATCTATTCATGAAAATATCAGCGACTATTAAGGAAACTGATGACCCCATAGTAACACCTTTTTTCTGTATGAATTCCCTTTAAATGTAAAATAATTACTTTCTAGACAAAATTTCAAACTCTTAATTATTTCACTGGTGTCCAGTGAACATCTTTGCGATGGGGTTGTGTCAGATTCTAGAAAACTGGAAATCATTCTAAGACTTTCCGTAGTAGGGACACTCGTGTATGGTGAGTTGATATTACAGCTTACCATAATATCTTTCCATAAAACTACGCTACATGAATTTGTTATCATTGCCATTTCGCCAATTCGACAGCGCAAAATTGCCCCCTGCTGAGGAACGGTGCTCAAATTTGTTATAAATTAATATTTTTTACGAGTTGATCACGAATTGATATCAGTTAGAGAACCATTGAAAACTAGGGAATACTGGACAGCTGCTGTTTCATCCTAGTTTGGGAATCATCGCCAGTACGCACCCACTGGGATTCGAACCCAGGATCTTCCGGATACAGGGCAAGCTCGTATACCATTCAGCCACTGGGACCTGATTCAGTGGCCGGTGCATGTATTCTAACTTCTACCAATTCGTGATTTGGCGCGACCCCAAACATTGTCTTGGTGGGACATTCATCCACACACGTGATATCTAATTGGACCTCACTGGTCACGACTTCTCACTAGAACTCCAGGAAACTTCAACTTGTAGCAAGTCACTAACGAGCATCCGATTAATTTTCTATAGTTTGGTTTGTAAGGGTTAGTTATGTTTTAACGAATAAATTAATATAAATTAATAATACTGCTTTGATAAAACTGTTAGCATTATATAGCAAAGTGTCAGTAAAAACGACAATATCTTTTTGATTCTCATTCATTCATTCATTCGCAAATACAAGAACCTTTATTATAATGATTATCATATACTCAAACTGTTAAAAGCGAGTTTGATTTGGACATAAATAAAGCTGACATGTGTTGTTGAAGCTCTATGTTCCATCCGAAACCCAAGCAAATAATAAATAAACAGATACACCGTTGATATCACCGCTCTAGTCTTCAAGTTTTGCTCCTTCAACGGCCAGGTCTCAATTCCAGGAAGAAAAAGGCACAAACAGCGAAAAAAAATTTTCTTCTCGACGATTCACATTTTCATGAGCTGCTGTACAATCGTAATTATAATTGACAAAAGGATGTTTAGACCAATCAGATACTTCTAAACTTTGTCCTTGAAAAATTGTATTACATAATATAAGGTGTAAGAAGGGATGACTAAATGTAAGTTAGAAAATAGACAGAAGTTGGCATGATGTATTAAGTGTGAGATAATGACTAATCAATAAGCTCGTGTAGAATGAACAGGAACTATTGGAAAGGCGATAAAGTGTTTTTGTATAAGATCTGTATGAAAAAGCAATGTTATTAATAAACAGTAATAGAATGGTAGTAATAATAAAAATGTGGATGATGGGAATAATAATGATAATAAAAGTATTATTAATAATAATAATAGCAGTTATAATAGTGAACTTACATTGTGAAGGAAAGGAGCGAAATTGTAGTAAGAACTTTACTCCGGCCATCGTATGACGAGAAAATGTATGTATCGCTTTTGAATGCAGAGGTCCGATTCCAGATATTGAATAGCTAATGCTTCAGTTCTGTACAGATGGCGTATCCGAAGTCCCTTTGTACGATATTGAGGGACTTTGTGTATCACTATGAATCATTCATCTGGGGTGCTCGATGTACGAAGGGTAGAGCTGCTGCTGTTCTTCTTTTCTCCTCTGGCTAACCAAGATGGACAGTGTTCCAGAATATTCTTCCCTCGATTATTTTGTGTTTTCTAGATGTCTAAATGAATATTTTTGCTATATTGATCGATAGGCATCATTAAATATTTCACAGATTTTATTTGGATCATTATTTTCATGTACAACAATGACAAAAATATCATCCTTATACGACCTATAAACTTCGAACTGATTTACAGCTGGTTGTGGTGTACCTTATTTTAGGAAATCCTATAGCTACTTCGTTGTCAAAGATTATGAATACTGAAGGTTTTCTTATTGGCTTTGGTCGCCATCGGCGTTCAACTTGAATCCACCAGTGATTCGATCGTGTAACATGTTAGAAGAAGACGAAAGAACACGAACAAAAGTACGATACATTCCTTGTAAAAAAAAACATTTGTTATTAATTAGACTTGGTGCAGAATATTGATTTTAACAATCGAAGAATACAATTTCTTGTCATCTATTGTGTTGTGAAATTAAATTCGATATCTATGCTTATTGGTTGTCGATTCGAAGCATCTTTGGAAATAATAGGATCTTCGCATTAAGTTCCTTGACATCTATCCTTCTGTCGATCTATTTCATCACTAAGCCACATAAAACTTAAATCAATCTATTGAAGGTGTTTGAAAACAGATGTGAGTATAACTCAAGAATATTACCAGACGTCTATCACAAGAAAAGATGGTTTGAACGTCGTCATCGCAAAGCTAAACAGTTATGAGGTTTTGGTAATTGTTAAATCGATAGCCTATACTGAATATACTTACTACCCCCACACAGACTCTTTCTGCCTGCCTCCCTGCCTCCCTCCCTCCCTCCTCCCTCCCTCCCTTCCACATGCTATGAAATCGTATCTGTTGAAGAATATAGAAAAACAGGGTTGAAAGTCCACAACTCGACAACACACGCATTTGTCGAATGATTTCTGTCTACAAAACACACGTAAAACTTTAAACAATCAGCTATAAATTTATATATAAATATGCGTGTATTCATATGAATTAAGTGCTATTCGAATATTAGTTTTACTCAACAGTGTACGTCTGAACATGAGTAGACATCACCTATACCACATTGTAATGCTTGTTTACTTTATAACTGCCATCTCAGCATTAATTCCAAAACCATACGAATATAATCAAACTTCTACACTGCTATGCAACATCGTTGAAACACTTGAATTTATTCATGAGCATCATTCTTGTTTTATTCTAATGGAGGCATTGAAACGATTCACTCAACGTCTTACTCTCATATATACACCATTACAGCAATCAGATGACATTGTTACAAGTTGTTTTGTCACGTCGTTGTCTATCCATATAGAACAGTTGTGTGATGAAACGGAAAACAAACTTTGGCCATCTGATATGATGGATGAGTCATGTAAGTAGGATATCACTCACTCACTCACTCACTCACTTCAATCTCCTGCTCATTCCAACTCATCTTTTGATTTACAGACATGGTGAACATAACTGATGGGATAATAGAAATATCTTCACAAGAAGTATGGGGAACACTTCGTGCATTAGAAACTATTCTTCAGTTGGTTTACAGAAGTGAACCAGATTCGGTAGGTTCAATTATTATTTCCAGTTTCTAAGAAGTTATTTCCATTGACGCTGGGCTTTACACAATTCCGTTTTCGACAGAAGGTGATTTATCAAGGTGTTGTCAATGATGTGCCGATATTTACACATCGTGGAATTATGATCGACACTGCTAGACATTTTCTGAGTATTTCTGAAATTGAGAAGATGATAGTAAGTGAGCACTAATTGAAGTTGAAATTGTTCTTATCATTTTGTTATACAGGATGCAATGTCTATGGTTAAAATGAATACTCTCCACTGGCATGTGACAGACGATGAATCCTTTCCATACTTCTTTTTCTCACATCCTGATCTATCAAGATGGGTAAATTTCTCACAAATATCTTGACTTCTACATGTATATATTTTTTTGAATTGTTAGAACTCTTATGATGATAAAATCGCGGTATATTTACCGGATGAAGTTAGCGGATTGTTGGAGTATGCACGTTTAAGAGGTGTACGTGTAACACCAGAATTTGAAACTCCAGGTAAAATGATGTATGTGTTTTTCGAAGTTTTATTGATTTTTACATATACACACACACAAGGAGGAACACTGTGACATTGTTTACTGTGGAGAAGAGAGAGAGAGACAGCGAGACATTTCTGCTGTCATGGACTTTATTTCCAAGCTGTTATTTTTGGCGTTGTTTAACTACAGAAAAAGGCATTAAGTAGCACTCAAAACTGATCAGTTTTCAATGTTCATATATCATAGACGGAAGAATATTTGAATGACGCAATGAGAAACACTTCTTTTATATTTGCATTTTCGTAGTATTTTCGTCAATTCCAGATAACCTGAATAGTAAACTACATAAGCAATGAATATGTGATATAATGTGAATCTTTAAATATTCTCATTATTAATATTAGAAAAAGACACAAATAAGGGAACAGTATTTTTGTATTCAATTAGATCGTCTTCAGGCTTTAATCAAATTTAAATTTCTCTTTATATATAAACGTTTTAACCAATGATGGTGATGTTGTGGATCAAATAATAATAACAATGCGGTAAATGTTTTGAACGTAGTTAAAAACGACGAGTTAATGACAGCAAAGTATTGATAATAACGTTTATGCATATGGCGACAAGAATATCAAAGGTGGTATATGTGTATATGTAGACAATTCAACAAATAAATAAATTAGGTCAAATCTTAAAAGTTACGCAATAATAAAGGTAGGTGAAGTGGGCAGATAGTCAGAGTTTAAATACATATCATATAAGTATGAAGCATATGAAGGATATCAACGGCTGCTTTTAAAGGCGAGTTCGAATTCCGTTCGAAATGTTCAATGGAATGAGACAGATAACTTTGAAGGTACTTCATCAGTCTAATAGATGACCGCTATCATCAATGAATTGAGACAAAATAGGACTTCTTTTAGATTTTATTTCATCTTTTCCGAACCATGAAAAAAATGCCGGATTAATACGTTTGTTGAGTTGCGGTTAAATTTTTCACCCTGTATAGCTTTCTCCACAGGAGCAGTTAAATTTTTAGATACATACAGAAGTGGCATGGTTAGGTAACCTGTCTTCTGCTTGAGTAATCATAATTGGTCGGCAGCTGGAGAATGACAAACAAGGGATGGTGGCGGCAGTATTATTCCGTTTAATCTCTCTCGATAATTTTAGATGTAGGACTTCATCAACCACGTCCCCATTAAATTGCAAATTTAGGAACAGTTGCTTCTTTTTTAACTGTTGTCAGTTTATCTTTGTTATACCTGGAGTTCATGTGTCTCCTAACAAAGCCATTTTCTTTACCTTCACGTTCCCCAGTGGAACATAGGGCTTCAAGCTAGTGGCTTGAAGTTTCTGTAGCAGTCTTTATTTTACAGGATGAGGTTGCTAGCCTCATGCCAATCCTTTCCTCTTTACCAGCATCATTTTTGGCTTAGCGAGGTAAAGGAGTGTGACTGTGGCCGGGGATCGAACCCCGGACCATCTGCATGGTCGGCGAGCGTCCTAACCACTATGCCACCAATGCACTGAACTCAAAATAGCTCAGTGGTAACGTTTTTGACTTCAGTGCTCACTAGGCGATGCGGGTTCGAATCCCAGAAGGGAAACGAGTTCCTTTAAGATTGCAGATAGTCCTTTGGTCCCATTGGCTTAACGGTCAACGAGCTCACCTTGTAACCAGAAGGTCCTTGGTTCGAACCCGTGTGGTGGGTGCGTACTGCTGAATAGCCGGTCCCAAACTAGGACGAAACAGCTGTCCAATACTCCCAACAAAGCCATTGGATAACCAATTCGGATCGGCGTACTTTGGATGTATCCAAGTTCATTTTTAGGCAGTCATATGTACACATTCGTCTTGCTTTACTTGTAAGGCATCTAATAAAATTGATTTCACTCATAGCCAAAGCTATGGGGATTAATTCGAGAAAACAGTCGTAGTCTTTGCACACAAAAGAATTTTTTTCTACCTCTGCCTCTCCCTTGGCCTAGGTTAATTCTCATTAAAAATCTCCCTTCCACCTACCCTTTCTTATTTTCCACTCCCCTCGCACTTTTAAGATATTTATTTAGCCTATGATTATTATCTGTCCACTTCACCTACCTTTAGTATTACGTAACTTTTAAAATTTGACGTAATCTATTCATTCATTAAATTGTCTAAAAATGTGGAAAATCAAAACAAGTGATTCAACAAAGGAACTCTTTTCAACGAAGTTATCATCAAGCTGTACAATCGTATATATATATATATATATATATATATATATATATATGGTTTTTAAGAAGTTATATACGGTGAGGGAATTCAATCATAGATGCGATTGCATAAAATAATAATAGTAGTAGTATGAAATGCAATTAAAAACTAAAATGTTTTTGATTATAATCATGGTTAAATGTCAAGTGGCAAAACAAATTAATGTCATATATAGAATATAAAATATTTGTGATTAGGTTCATAGTTTAAGTCAAGTGGAAGAATAATTAATGTCATATATAAGATAATACATCAGGTGTATAGATTTTGGGGAGAGGCATATAATTGTAAGATTAATAGACGAATGTAAAATGTTACGTAATATGGTGTGAAATTTGATAACATAGAATTTAATATTGTAAAAATAAAGATAAAAAGTATACACATGAATAATTTTTGGTTTAAAATGTCAAGTAGATCTATTAATCTTACAATTATATGCCTCTCCCCAAAATCTATACACCTGATGTATTATCTTATATATGACATTAATTATTGTTCCACTTGACTTAAAATATATAGAATAATTTATAGGATGGATAGAACTTGAAAAAGGGTGTGCGATTATAAGATTAGTAGGCAAACCGAACAAGTGTGAAATTTAACAGCACATAATTTATCGTTGTAAAAAAAGAAGAATTGATTTAGAATGACAAGTGGAACAAGTGAAATAACACCGGGAACCGTTGAAGGTGGGAGCAGTAATAGTAACAATTGACGTAATAAAGGAAGAGACTACAAACCGAATAGACAAAATGAAAAATTGAAAAATTGGTAGAGCCAAAATATAATTAGGTATTACCCTACTTTAGCATAGAGGGATTAAGACCATGAAAGTTAGAGGGGTTGAACGACCTTTTTCTGTATAAAGATATCTGGCTTTTCTGTTTCGATAGCCAAAGCTGTTTCAGCCATACAGATGAGTCGGGTACGTAGTGATTTCAGTAAATTACTCTTTGCCTTGTAGATGACTTTAAAGCTGGAGGCTATAGAGATAAGATGATCATTATCGACCAGATGTTCAATTATCGCTCCACTTCCACCTTTTCGTAGCCATGCAGGATAATGTTCTTGCACCCTCTTGGACAAAAGTCGAGTCAGACAACCGATATACCTAGCTCCACAAAAACAGGTGAATTGATAAACGCACAGAGAATTGGTCAACAGAGGGATCTTATCCTTCAGGTCGATTTTCATTATATTACAATGGGAATTTTCCATGTGCCTAAATATAAGCATATACACATACCTTCGCTATTCTTATCACCACGTCAATATTTTGTTATCATTATAATCATCGTTATAATTGACGTTCAATACATTTACCACATTATTATTACTGTCATAATCCAAATGACCAACTCACCATCATCGGTTAAAGTTTGTATCTATAAAGCTGAGTAAATAGAGAGTGAATCCTCAAGAGGGTCTAATTGAAAACGACAATTTTGTTCCTTTATATGACTCGTTCTCATATTATTTAAACATGCCAATTGTATCCTAACTAAATGCGTGGACATCGTCGAAGCATCTGCACAAGAAGCCGACATGTCAACCTGAGACCGAGCACTTCGGTCCAATCAGCCGACGGGAAAATCAAAAATTCAATTCAATAATTAATATGACCCGTTGCACAAGAGGTGGCTCTCGTGGCCCAAGTGGTCTAGTGGATAACGCTTTGGCGTTTGAAACTATGGGTACTGGGTTTGAGCCTAGGTGGGAACATCATCACTCACTGAGAAATGCAGGTACATCCAGCTGACGAGTCCCAAATAGGACGAAATGCGCTTTATCCTGGATTCCATTGCTAGCCACCATCCACTAATTGTATACTAATTAAATGCCCAGACATCGTCGTCGAAGCATCTGCACAAGAAGCCGACATGTCAACCTGAGACCGAGCACTTCGGTCCAATCAATCGACGGGAAAATCGAAAATTCAATTCAATAATTAATATGACCCGTTGCACAAGAGGTGGCTCTCGTGGCCAAGTGGTCTAGTGGATAACGCTTTGGCGTTTGAAACTATGGGTACTGGGTTTGAGCCTAGGTGGGAACATCATCACTCACTGAGAAATGCAGGTACATCCAGCTGACGAGTCCCAAATAGGACGAAATGTGCTTATCCTGGATTCCATTGCTAGCCACCATCCACCAATTGTATACTAATTCAATACCCAGACATCGTCGAAGCATCTGCACAAGAAGCCGACATGTCAACCTGAGACCGAGCACTTCGGTCCAATCAATCGACGGGAAAATCAAAAATTCAATTCAATACTTTTACTCTGAATAAACATTTTACTTTGATTAGAGAATATAACATGGCGAAACGGAAAGGATGTTCAAAGTTAACAACAATTTAGAATAATGAATTAAAAGGCAAATTCGAGATATTGTATTGTTCTAGAATTTAAGGATAATTGGCACATAAGTACAGACAGCTAAATAGTCCCATGCAAATTTATTCAACCGACATGAAAGGGATCATGGAAACAAGTATGTAAAGAATGAGTAAGAAAGGCGATGAATATAATTATCGAGTTATGTAACACACAAAATTAAAGTGAATTAAAATAAAGTTTCAAAAATTGAATGAATGATAATATTCCCATTGAGGCTCAAACCCAGAGGCAAGAACGTTCAGAGTTTCAAATAGCACGAAATGTGCATCCTAGATTCCACTGCTAGTCACCACCAACACCAGTTGACCTCAATTTACATGACTAGAGATTGTCGAAGTGTCTGCACAAGGA